GGCTTCCTCATTTGTAAAATAGGGACAGTAATTGTACCTACCTTACAGGATTGCTATAGGGCTTAAATGAGATAAAATGCATAAAGTACTTCAACCAGTGCTTGGCAAACAATCTGTAACTGCTGTAATTGCAATGATAGCTATTTGTAGTAGCAGTGAAATCCAGGTTCGTGTGTTCTCCTTCTCAAGCTGTTTCTCCCTCTCCTCTCTCTCATGTCTCACTAGGAGGCAACCTCTAGCCTGTCTCTGCTTCACTATCACTTCTAAATGGCTTGAAACCCACCCTGTGGTTTCAAGGTCCTCTTGTGTTTTCTTCTCCTTGGTTCTTGTTAGGTTGGACAGGACAGGCTGGGAAATGGACACAAAGACTAAAAAGGATTTTGGGTCTGTGATTTTGGTTTCTTCATGAGAACAGTAAGGGCCTTGGAGATGAATCTTGAGTCCCTTCCAGGCCTCACATTTTATGTTCCTTGAGGGCTGTTACTGACCCACTAGGGGAAATAGTCAATTTTCCTCCATATCTGCCTACTGGGATATTGATAGGTAGTTGATAGGAAAGATACAGAAAGCTGAAAAATACATTATTAGAATGATCTGAATCTCTGGATAATTTCTGGGTACACATGACCAAATTTCTATGACTTATCTGTCCTACCCAGAGGCCTTTGTATGTTCCCCTTTCCCTCTCTTCCTAATTGGCTTCAGCTACACAACTGTCAATCCAACCAGAGAGGCACTATGGAAAGAAAAACCCTGAGCACCACCACAACTGTAGCCAAGAAGCAATGAGAGAAGAGAGCATGGGATAAAGATGGAACAAATGGTCTCTAATTAAAGGGCTCAAATGCAGCATTCACTTCTAAGGGCATGGGTCAACTGACCCACATAGCAGCTATATAAAGCCAAAGAAAACCCAGGATAGGAGTAAGACTGAAGACAGAAAGAAAAACTGAGGAGGAGGAAGTGTTTGTACTTTTGTCATTGGTGAAGCTGTCAATGCAGTTGTTTTTGTTGCTAAGATGGAATAGGGTGGAAAGGATTCAAAAGCTGGCTCTGAGGCAACCGAAACTGGTTTAAGAGGTAATGAGGATGTGAGGAAAGCCCCCAAAGAGAATGTTCTACCTGCTAAGTCTATTAAAGTTGGCTAAAATCTAAAAAGAGCCAAGAATAAAACTCCTTTCTGGATACTAGTATCCTATAAATGGTTGCAAGACATTCCTTTCTACTATGAGAGGCAGATCTCAACTTTGAGCTCAGAAAAAAAAAAAAAATCATAGAATCATAGTGCTTGAAAGATATCCCAGCTGTATTATAATGGAAAGAACAGAAGGCTGGGAAAGAAGATGAATTTAAGTGCAGCTCTGCCACATTTTAGCTGGATGACAGAGATAGTTATCAAATGTCTTTGAGCTTTAGCCTTCCTCTCCACTTGGATGGGAAATGCAACCTTTGCTAAAACAAAACATGGAATCATAGAGGCCTTAGTGGAGAAAAAGAGTGAAAGGAGAAGCTGCAGGCTGGGGGGAGAGGGGGGGTCTGCATAATCTGGAATAGGAGGGGATCTTCAAGATACTACCTGTCCTGATCACTAGGACCAAGAACTGCAAAAGAAGGTGCTGACCTGGGAGGTGGAAAGGAAGGTGCTGAAGTTCAATTTACCATCAGGAGAAAAATTAACACAGAGATTACATAGCATTTTCATAAACTACTTAATGTGGCTAATACAAGTGGGAAAATTCCTTAGAATGCTGACTTACAATGATACCTTTGTAGACAGTAAAATAGCAAAAATGAAATTGTAGGCAATCATCTTCTTTAAAAGGATCTGTCAGAAGAAAAAAAAAAATTAAAGAAAGAATCAAATCAGGAAGAATGGGTCCCTAGAAAGGCCAAACTAAAAACTTTTATAGGAACAAACTACTAGACGAATGAATAAGTCCGTAGGGTTGAAGAGATGTCCTGATGTGTGGAAGAGAACAGATGCTTTGAGAAAGGAAGCTTATGAGCTCAATCCCCTCTGAGAATACACCATCACGGTTTGAAAGTACATACACTTAGTACTTCCTGTGTATTGCAGCTTAGTGTCCTACTCACCAGAAACTCTGTCAGGTAGACTGGAGCTCTGTTTTACAGGTATGCTACTTAACAGGATGGCATTAAGATCTATTGTGAGAGGTCTACACAATCCTCCTTTCCTGAACTCCAGAACACCATTTCTAGACAGATATCTTCGTATATGACTGAACTTAGTATGTTAAAAGTAGAACTACTATCTTCCCTCCCCATCTGAGTTCTCTATCTTGATTGGCTGGGCCACAGCCTCAAGGTCTGTTTTGATTTTTCCCCCTTTCTTCATTCCCAAACTAATCACATTGAAATCATTACTGACATTTCTATCAAATCGTGCCCCATAGCCACTGCCCTCACACCTCCCTTAAATCCTTCCTGTCTCCCCTAATGCAGGCTATTCAGAGACATGAGAATTATCTTCCTAACCACAAGTGTCATTCTCTGCTCAAAATTACTTCAAGAGCTTCCCTTTCCCCACAGAATCAAGCCCAAAATCCTTAGAATAACATACAAAACTCCAATCCGGCCCAATTTCCATTCTCTTCTCTCTTCTACTTAATGCAAAGCTCTAGCCACAGTGGAATACCCGCTCTTTCTGGAACAT